AGCGTCTGATCATCAAAAGGCAAACCAGTCTCTCCAAGGGCCTGGGCTACCACCTTTCAGCCCCAGGTGGCCACATGTAGAGGCAGCCTTAGTGGGTGGGTCAGACAGTGAATTTCTCCTTGTCATATTTGGTCAAAGGCAGACATTCCCTGTCATACCTATGGCCTCATTGGACCCCAGCGGCTGCCCTATGGAAAGCCCCTATTATGGGCTGAATCATGTCCCTGCAAAATTCACATATTGAAGCTCTAACTCTGAGAACCTCAAAATGTGACTGTATTTGGAGATAAAGCCTTTAAAGAGGTGATTATGTTAAAATGAGGCCATCACGGTGGGCTCTAATCCAATCTGACTGACGTCCGTATAAGAATAGAAACTCTAGACGCACAGAAACACCAGGAATTCGTGCACAGAGAGGACAGACCATATGAGGAAACAGTGAGAAAATGGCCATCTGCAAGCCAAGGAGAACGGCCTCAGAAGAAACCAACCCTGCCAACTCCTTGATCTTGGACTTCCTACCTCCAGGACTGTGAGAAAATAAATTTCCATTGTTTAAGCCACTGAGGCTGTGGTATTTTGTTATGGCAGCCCTTAAGTGCCTAACGCAGACCACAACTTGGTTTCGACACCAAGATCAAAGAATAGCCAGAAAAATCTCAAAACTGGTGGCTTCTTATTCTCGTTGTAAAGACCTTTGCAGTCAGGGCCTCTGCGAAACCCATAGCAGGGAGTCAGGCAGTGAAGCCATGAGCCTGGTGGCTGAGAACAGAAGCTCTGCAGCCGGGTAGGATGGACGTGAATCTGCACCCTGTCACTCTCCAGGATGAAGATCGCAACAGCAGCCACCTGTCACGGCTGTCATGCGAACCGAGTGAGCTGATATGTGTAAAGCACTTACAATGGAGCGTGGTACACAGGAAGAGCTACATGCAATTATCTGTTAAATGAACATTTCCTGGCAATATTTTACCTTCAAAACTGAGGGGATGGAAAGACTATTCACTTGTCAAATGAATTTCCTTGGTACATTTTCTGCTAACATACTTGGGGGTAATGAAGCACTAGAGTAGGTGTTTAAACATACCTGCTCCTGGAATCTGAGGAGACCCTCAGAGTCATTCAAGTCCTCTACAGCATATTTTAACTACTACAAACCCTCTGTGTATGTTGATTAGCTGGGATTTGTTTCTGGAGGGTTTCCCGTGGTCTCCAACAGCCAGTAATGGGTTTAACTGCAAGTTTACATGGAATATCAGCACTGATACAGGCTTTTGAACTGCGCAAATCTGGGCACCAATTCCCATTCTGTCACTTGAAACATTCCATGTCTAGCATTTATCGAGCACTTACTATATGCCAGTCTACTTGATATGTACCTGTGAAGTGGACACTAAGATTAGTCCTAATTCACAGATGAGGGAACAGAGGTGCAGAGATTCTAGGCAATTCACCGAATGTCACCCAGCAGGTAAGCAGAGAATCTAGCATTTAAAGGCAGAGCCTAAATGCACGAAAATTACACACCACTGTCTCCTTACTAGCTGGGAGTCTTAGAAAAGCCACTTTAGCCTCTCTGAGCCTCTGTTTCTTTAGCCGTAAAATAGGGATAATAATGTCTGTTTGCAGGTTTTTGCACAGATGGCATGCGGTTGGCACATGGAAGGCACTTGGGAAATGGTCACAGTGGTTATGGTGGTGATTGTCATCAGCAGCACCTGTCTTCTTCCTAGCACAGACCCAGAAGTCATTGACAGGCCTCACATAAGCCGCAATCTGTGACTCGGTTGCCTCATTTTCAACATGAGGACGAAAATCCCCACCTGTAGTTATCCCCCCAAATTGCTCTGGAGGTCAAATTAATAATAGCAGAACGTGCTTTGGCAGCCCAATGAACTCAGGATTGTGGCTCTCGATGGCCAGCAGCCACCCTTGCAATTTGACAAACATCTTTATGAGGGTATTCAGTTTCTGGAAAAATTGAATGAAAGGATGAGTCTTTCCATGAACTTTTTGAGGGACCCTCGTATTTCTTCACCCCATTTCCCCCAGTTGAAATGAGGAGGTTGGTCTATATAAACGAGATTTGATGTTATTATGAATTTGAATCCTCCAGTCTTCTGAAGACAGATGAAAAGTTTCTTTACAAATAGGAGGGTCTTAAACCACAGAGAGAGAAATCATGGCTCCTTCTCAGCTTCCAGGCCTCACTCAGCTCAATGATCCTTCCTCCTTTCCTGAGCACCCGCTGTCGTCCCTACAGAAGCCTTCTCTCCCCACTTGTGTCCCTCCTAGCGCTTATGCTCTCCGAAATCATCATTTCAACCTTGCGTTGAAGCTCACAGAAAGCTGGGACTCTGTCACCTGTTCACTACCAAATTCTGGTTTTATATAAGCGAAGAGTAAATGCTCAGTACATTCTTCTGGAATGAACATAATGATTTAAAACTTTTGCAGCTTGTACAACATTAGAGAGCATCAACTCATAAGTCAAAATGCTAGAACTGAGGTTGGACATGAAAAGCTTGAAGGACTGAAGTTTTTTAAACCTATGTGAATTTCAGCTCTGAAGTAGTAACTGTGTTTAATTGAAATGATCATTTGTAACGTTTTTAAATAAGACCAAGTGGATCCAATTCTCTCTTTCCTTTTCATGTAGCTGCTTCTTGACAGTAAACCTGTGTGAGGAGCAAGGCAGACACTTGCCGCGACTCCCCCTGGCCCTCAGTTGCCATCTTGCAAAGAGAGGGACGATTACCACTGTGCGCTTGGTCACTGGGCTCCAGCCCTCAGAGCACGTGGTGACACCTGTGGAACTGCCCAGCTGTTGGAGCAAACACGTGCATTACTGTTCAGGGAGCAACAGGGAAGGCTGCTGGAATTCTTACCATGGGCAGCAGGAAGCCACACTCGTGGTTATTGACTCCGATGATAGAAGGAATTGCTTTAAATGCTTTCTGAGTCAATAGTTCGAGAGGATCATCAGGAAGAAAAGACCATCAACCACTCGAGTGAAAGACTTTGCTTTGTATAAAAAGGAAGAGAAAGAAAAATCAGCAGCCGTTTCTGTTCACAGAATCTGCTATCCCCAAATCCTCACCAAACTCAGCCAACCCAGTCTAGCAGTGGTCAAAATACATTAAAAAAGGAAAAATAAGCCACTACTGGCCCAGCCCAATGCACCGGTTCCTGGCCAGCTCTGCCACTTACTTGGGCAACGAGGCTAAATTCTCTCTGTGCCTTAGTTTCTCATCTGCTAAATGGGAATAATAATAGTATCTACCGAGGAAAAACAGTGGCCTAGCACAGTGGCTCTCAAAGTGTGTTTCCTGGACCAGCAGCATCAGCATCATCTGGGAACTTATTAGAAATGCACATTCTCAGACCCCACTCCAGGCCTACTGAATACAAAACTCTGGGGGTGCAGCCCAGCAAACCTCTTTTAGCAAATCTTCCAGGTGATTCTAATGCATGTTCAAGTTTGAGAACCACTAGCCAAATGCAATGGGAAAATAGGGAAGGCAAGACATGACCAGTACGTGGGTGCTGGTGGGAAACCCTCCTGAGATGTCTTTCTTCCTCAGAGCACTGTGCTATGGACAGGGCTGGATATTTCCTGGGTCTCAGAAAGCCACAGCTGGCTCTACGCATGGTGTTTTCAGGTTTCTGTTCTGAGAGTTGGGTAGAAGGTGGAACGGAAAAGAGCCTAACACACGTCAGGTCAAGGACTATTGTCCATTTCATGGACCCTAGCACAGCTCACAGCGGGTATTCAGTACCGGCCAAATAACTAGCAAATGTTGAAATCTGACAGACAATTGGCCTTGCTCTTTCAAAGACTACCATAGGCTCTCAGGACTGAAGGGGACATAAAAGATCATCCAGTCCGGTTAACCATCCGGTGATTGAAAGTTGTCAGCAGTCAGCTAGAACTTGCTTGAATGTCTGCAGACGTGGGCATCACACTAACTTCTAAAGGAGCCCAGACCTTTTTAGGAAAACTGAGGTTTTAGAACGTGCTCTGTTACGCCAAGTCAAAATGGCTTTCTAATAGAACTTCCAGCTCTTGATCTTGACCTTAGCATCTGGGAACAGGTGGCCCAAGTGTGGTCCCGTTTCCCAGTGAGATGCCTTCGATGACTTAGAGACAACCCATGTATTTTGCTCGACCTTTTCCTTAGTCAGGACAGCACCCCTGCTCCATCAAGTTCTTTAAATTACCTATAAAAGTTCTAGACCCCACATTGTTTTTACAGGTATTACCATGAATTTCCAGTCCCCCTCTTCTCCAAGTCCCAAATCAAAATAAATAACAGAGGAGTAGGATTTCTTCCCCCAAACCCTCCCTTCCCTCTTCACCTGGCTGAGGCGCAGCAGCTCCTTGGACTACTTTGCCCTCAGGCACTTCAGCAGGGCCTTGGAGTCTGATGCATCGCAGCCACAAGCATCCGCAACCATCTGCAACTGTTTCCAGAGAAGAGCCAGGTCAGCATGGTACCAGAAGCATCCAGGAAAGTGAGAGTTGGCAAGTAGACATGCAATCCTGCCTGCTGCCCCTCCCCAGCCCCATGCGCCTCCAACGGAATGTGCACAAGGAGGACAGGCTGGCACTGCACTGTCCTTACTCTCCTGCTGCCCCTCCTTGTCATCTTTAGCAAGCAGCAGAGCTGGGAATGGGGCCTTGTCAGTCTGTGGCCATGGAGTAGAATCAAGACTCCTGGTCACAGAGAGACCAGTCCCATGTGCTTGGCTGCACTGGCAGTTGGCCTCATGGTGCCCAGAACCCAACCTTGGGGTGTTAAATGGAGCCAGCAGTCCCAAGAGTGAAGAGCAGCTTTGCAAGGTCCTTAACTGCCAACTGAAGCGTGACTCTGGGTTAGATTCCAAGCTCTGCTCGAGCCCCAGCCCCACCCACAGCCTGGAACGGCCTGAACATCTTTTTTTCTGTCTCTACACCAATCCCACTCATTCTTTAAGGCCCAAGTCCTACTCTCCAAGACGTCCTTTCAGACCATTTCAGCCCCAATAAACCCCTTCTTCCCCAAATCTGTCACCCCAATGACCCCACCTTCCCTACCTAGCCCATTGCTAAGCACCTTCTTGCCCTGTCGTCAAACATTCCATATTTGTAGAACTTGTCCCTTGAAGGTGGTTGTTCTTAATCTTCTAGGAGTCATGGATGCCCTGAAAATCCAATGAGAGCTACAGTCCCTTTCCCTGGGAAAATGCACAGTGTATGGAGACTGCAAACAATTGCAGGACATTCAACCACCTCCAAACCTATGCATGGATTCCAGGTGAAAAAATCCTCTCTTCCAGTTTAGGATATGCTTTCTCCAGAGATAAATTTACAGGTCCTAACAGAACTAGGAAAACAGTGGGCCCTCAATACATGTGTGGCCAATAAATAAATATATGCACAAACTGAAAGTAGCTTTATATTCGAGAGTAATTAAAAAAATTCATGGAAAGATTCATATTATCTTTTAATTCCATTTTTCCACAAACTTTTTGAAGTATCCTCATGTAATGTTACCAAAACCAATATTCTTTTTGAATTGAGGATCGTTGTTCAATTGTATAGCTCAATGTTCCTGTTCTTGGTGTACACTGTTATTTTCTACAAGGTGTTTAAGGAAATGCACCACTAAAATGACTAATACCCAGGAGATGGCTCCACAGCCCAGTGCTTAATCAACATGCATTGAATGAATCAGCTCATTCGTTAATTTGTTCACTCAGCAAACATTTACGATCGTCTAATATATACCAGGTATTATGCTAAGGTCATGAAGGACAGAGAAACCCTGGTCTCCAAATCCTCATTATCTAGTAAAGACAAAATGACAGATCACAAATATGTGGAATACATGTCCCACTTCCCCCTCATAATCCCATGCCAGACAACCTTAATCAGTTACAGTGGAATTTCCCACTAAGCTGGAAACAGTTTCAGAGTCTTTCTTAGCATAGTGCTCCACATAGCCAGGCCCTGTGGAATAGAGTAAGAAAGGGGATGAGCTGTATGCAGTACATGGGACCGAGTTATATGTCACAAGCAAAGAAAAATGGATAATATGCAAGAACTATCTCTCTGTCTCTCTGTCTCTCTGTCTCTCTGTCTCTCTCTCTCTCTCTCTCTCTCACACACACACACACACACACACACACACACACACTCTCAAGCACACCAGTGATGTTGCATGGTGTAAAGGGACCCACTTCCAGTTGAACCAGACCTTCCATGGAGAAACAAAGTTCACCTTGGGCCAGCTTGAGGTTCCTTGGGCACGGTCACTAAGTAAAGCCAACCATATGGTGAGAAGGTGACAGTCTATCGATTCCTGACCACATTGTTTCCTGACTTTGGAGAGGTACTAACCATATACCTACATCCTTACTTCTCTCGTCATCGGGCGCCTTCAGGTAAGGGATGATGGCCACCCCACTCTCCATGATGGCTCTGTGGAATAAGCCAGTGGGCATGGGGGACAGGACCTGGAGAGGGAACACAGGGGACCCAGGAAAGTTTACCCAGGGGACTCTCCACCCATCACACACACTATCCATCCCTTCCGTAAAGAAACCTTCCCAGGAAGCCTCCTTAAGAGCTCTAGCCTAAGAGAGAGAGAGGAAAAAAACCCTGATTTGGGGGTTCAAGGACTAGCTTGAAGGTTTGGGCAAGTTATTTAACCTCCCTGAGACCCAAGTTGCTCATGACTCATTAACTTGGAAGCCAAACGCTCTGGAATGTGAATTCTAGCTCTTTCACTTCCTCGCTGGGTAACCTCAAGCAAGTTGCTTAATATTTCTATGCATCAGTTTACTCTCCTGTAAAACTGGAGTAAAAATTAAGCCCATATCACAGAATTGTTATGAAGAGGAGAGAAAGTAATGAACACAGAAGTCTTTGCATGGTTCCTCATCAAATTTTACTCATGAAATGGTGGCTGTTATCATATATGTAAAGTTGGGTTAATATAATTCGCCATAGAAGGTAATTTTGAAGATACAAAAAAACCTTGTCTATTGCCAAGTACTACACAGCAGAAGTTCTCTTCACCCGCTATCCTGTAACTGATGTCTGTAATTAACATGNAAAAAAATAATAATAATAAAATAAATAAATAAATAAATATATGCACAAACTGAAAGTAGCTTTATGTACGACAGTACTTCAAAAAGGTCATGGAAAGATTCATATTATCTTTTAATTCTATTTTTCCACAAACTTTTTGAAGTATCCTCATGTAATGTTACCAAAACCAATATTCCTTCTGAATTGAAGATCGTTGTACAATTTTATAGCTCGATGTTCCAGTTCTTGGTGTACACTGTTATTTTCTACAAGGTGTTTAAGGAAATGCACCACTAAAATGACTAATACCCAGGAGATGGCTCCACAGCCCAGTGCTTAATCAACATGCATTGAGTGAATCAGCTCATTCGTTAATTCATTCCCTCAGCAAACATTTGTGGTTGTCTAATATATACCAGGTATTATGCTAAGGTCATGAAGGACAGAGAGACCCTGGTCTCCAGATCCCCATTATCTAGTAAAGACAAAATGACAGATCACAAATATCTGGAATATATGTCCCACTTCCCCCTCATAATCCCATGCCAGACAACCTTAATCAGTTACAGTGGAATTTCCCACTAAGCTGGAAACAGTTTCAGAATCTTTCTTAGCATAGTGCTCCACATAGCCAGGCCCTGTGGAATAGAGTAGGGAAGGAGATGAGCTGTATACAGTACAGGGGACCGAGTGATATGTCACAAGCAAAGAAAAATGGATAATATGCAAGAACTATCTCTCTGTCTCTCTGTCTCTCTGTCTCTCTGTCTCTCTGTCTCTCTGTCTCTCTGTCTCTCTGTCTCTCTGTCTCTCTGTCTCTCTGTCTCTCTGTCTCTCTGTCTCTCTGTCTCTCTCTCTTTCTCTCTCTCTCTCTCTCACACACACACACACACACACACACACACACACACACACACACACCCTCTCAAGCACACCAGTGATGTTGCATGGTGTAAAGGGACACATTTCCAGTTGAACCAGACCTTCCATGGAGAAACAAAGTTCACCTTGGGCCAGCTTGAGGTTCNTCCCTGAGCCCCAAGTCGCTCATGACTCATTAACTTGGAAGCCAAACGCTCTGGAACGTGAGTTCTAGGTCTTTCACTTCCTCGCTGGGTAACCTCAGGCAAGTTGCTTAATATTTCCATGCATCAGTTTACTCTCCTGTAAAACTGGAGTAAAAATTAAGCCCATATCATAGAATTGTTATGAAGAGGAGAGAAAGTAATGAACACAGAAGTCTTTGCATTGTTCTTGGTCAAATTCCACTCATGAAATGGTGGCTGTTACCACATATGTAAAGTTGGGTTGATATAATTCGCCTTAGAAGGTAATTTTGAAGATAAAAAAATACCTTGTCTATTGACAAGTACTACACAGCAGAAGTTCTCTTCACCCGCTATCCTGTAACTGATGTCTGTAATTAACATGCTAACTGACACTGAAGAAACACTTACCACTCAGAGCCAGCGGGACATTTTCTAGCACCTCCATAC